TTGAGCGAGGATGGTACAAAGACGTCTCCACTGTCCTGGCTTAAGTCACTGGGGCTGGTGTCTTCGTCAATTTGTAGGGGCGCCTCACTCGCGGTGCTGTAGGAGTCCTCGTTAATGCAGGCGTCGTCGTCTTGAGATGTAGACTCCTCGATGACACCTGAACAGCAACGCGAGGAGCCTCAGATGCAATATTCCCATCCGAGACGCCGTCCTCACGAGGCGCTTCGTCAGACGAGGGCTTGGCCTGCGATTCCTCAGAAATGGCCACGGGACGCGGGGAACTTAAGTTTTCAGTACCTGGAGGGAGTACCAGGCCCGGAATCGTTGGGGACGCAGTGGGCGTCTGGTGCAGCGTTGCGATTGGCACACCTTGGTCGTGGTCGGTTACCGCGGCTCGCGTTGACGAATCGTCGCACTTGTTCTTAGATGGCGTTCCTGGTTGAAGTGGAGGGAAATCCTTGGATGCCGCCTCGGAATACGATGGCCTGATGGTGCAGGCCACGGTGGCATGCGGGTCCCCACAACGGCGACACGGCAGCGAGCAGCCTTTCCCGTCGTGGCCATAAACGCCGCACCTTCCACAAAACGGAGCTGTGCAGTTCATGCGGAAGTGCCCACTGTCTCCACATCGACGGCACACTCGCTGGATGCCTTTATAGTCACAGGTTACTCGATGGCCCGCGACCTTGAGGTAGTTGGGCACCGGTGACGAAGCCTTCATTTCCATGCGGACGTATCGCGTCCCAGTGGTCACGGTTGGGCGCGATCCCATGAGTCCTCTGGTGATGTGCAGCACCTTCCCGTAGGGAGAGAGTGCTTGTGCGAGGACTTCGCTTGGTACGCGGCACGGCAGGAACAGGACGGTCACTTGGGTCGCTTGGGGTCCCAGGGGTACGATGGCGACGCGCTCTCCTCGGATGATAAGGTGCGACGCGTCTACGATTTTGGCCAGTGCGGCCTCACTGTTGACGGTAACTTGGTAGTTCCGGCCTCCAAAGTGCTGAACGCAGTATACTTCTTCAATTCCTACTATTGAAGACGTCGCGTCAACGACGTCTTCGGGACTAGTCCCCTCGGGGACGACTACGTCGAAGGCTAACGCCTTCTTCGGGGGCTGGCTCACCATGACGGGCGTCCGCCAGCCCAGGGACGCCGTGAGACGCTAACGACGACGTGAGACGCTAAGCTCCTTATGGCGTGGCTTGTGCGTCCCTCGTATGCAACCACCAGTGGCACATACCCGAAATAGCGGTCCTTACGATTTTGACCTCCAAGGTGGTTCCGGTGAGAGATTTCTTCTGTGCGTTGTTGAACAATTATAGATAGTGCTCAATGCACATGTCAATGGCTGCTAAGGGGGAATGAGAGACAGGAGCATTCGGCTTTTAGTCAACGCGCACGCTGCGATCCCCATTAGCAGCCATTAACATGTACATTGAGCACTATCGGACAAGAAAGGGTTGCTACATCATACTTGCTGGGTGTAACCTCCTTGGTTTTAGAAAGGTTTATCGAGCGTTGAGCCGCAGGGCCATGAATACAATGAACTAGTATATACCATGAATGAATTCGAGGTGGTTAAAGGGGGGAAGCAGATACGAAGCGCAAGCCGTAAGAAATTAAAAGCCGAATCCTCCTGTCTCTCATTTCACATTAGCAGCCACTGGCATGTACATTGAGCACTATCTGACAGGAAAAGGTTACTAGGTTATACTCGCTGGGCGTAACCTCCTTGGTTTTAGAAAGGTTTAGCGAGCATTGGGCCGCATTGCCATGAATACAGTGAACTAGTATATACCATGAACTCAAGGTGGTTGAAGGTGGAAAGTAGACCCGAAGTGCAAGCCGTAAGAATGTGTGCGTGTGCCACCTCTCGTTTAGTCCTTGGAATGTCCACTGACTGGCGTGCTTCTATATGGGGAATATATGATATAAAGATGCGAGATGGTGAGACTTGGAGTGTTGAATAGATGGACGAATGGACACACAGACAGATGCATGGATGGACGCATGAAAGGACGAAGGGGCAGATGCATGAACGAACGCAGGGACGGGCGCACGAACAGACGCATAGACGGTCTCACACAGACGGACGAATGCTTCGCCCCACTCTCCATCATTCACTCCGTGGATATGCTGCCATTTTTTTTCTGACTTTGGTGATTATTATAAAAAAAAGCCCTTCGTACTTGCACTTTTTCAGCTAAATATATGCGTATTTGTGCTTACGTTCAGTTTTTTGCTTCACTTGGTAGGTCGGACGTTTTTTGTTAAAAAGTCTGAAAATCTACCCGAAAAATGTTATTGCCTGGTAGGCAGACTTTATGTCGAAGAGGGCTTAAGACAGAATGGTGATAACTCTGCACTATTTTCTCAGCATGCTTATTCATAAAACCATGGAAGCTTATATTATTACGATTCCAAAATAAAAGATATATTCGCACTAACTTCAAGAAATGAGCATGCAAGTGAAATTTCTGAATACAATTATGAAATAAGCTTATAGGAGATATTTCTTAAGCTTTTGTCACTTATTCTCTTGCACATTAGCTTTCCTAATCAATAAAGACATGTTACATATTATGGTTTCAATTGCAGTTATGGCCCGTCCAAAATTCTATTGCGCAGCGATAGGCTATTGCAGATCGGACTTCCTGCCTGATAAGTAGGGAATGCAGGCCTGCACTTTGGTTTCTTAAAAGGCAAGGCTGCACTGAATTAGCTGTCAATTGCCCCGATACCGTCAATTTATAAATAATTTGGTGACGGGAGTGGCCATGAGTGCTGAATGAACGATCAAGCAAGCGCGCACAGCCCAGCGCGTTCCGGTGCAAAGAGGACTCGTTTTCGTGACTTAACGTAGCTTCAATATATTTTGTGGAACTCATTCTCAAAGTCGAAAAAAAAAGAAAAAAGCAGGGCAGCTAAGCATGCCACTTGGTTTACTGTGCTTCAAAAAAAGAATTGTTCTTTTTTTCAGAAAAACCAATTGCGGATCTCTCCTTTCCATTTAGCAGGCAACCATGTATAAAATTTTTAAAGAATTGTAAGAGGTTGACCAGCCATGCTTTCTTTGATATTACCCTTCCATCAAATAATAATAATAATAATAATAATACAATAAGACAAATTTAATAGTAAGGTACACACTAAAGCGACCATATTTCATTGACGTCAAAGCGGGCTGGACAGGAGGGGGGCAGTGTGGCATGCCGGAAAGAAGCACATATCATATAGCTTAAACGAAAAATGGCACTTATAATAGCGTAAATTGCGTTAGTATTGAAGTCCTTGGAGTGAACCCAGCAACTCAAATACGTGGGGGCCACACGAATCGGATGAGCTCCACTACCGAGTACAGCAGGTAGCAGCAGACGTGAAAAAAAATTGCCCGCAGCTTCCCTCGGGGGAACACTGAGGAGGATGCGGACCATATAATTGGTTAACGGGGTGTTAAAGTGCGACTTACTTGGGTCGATGGCTAAATTGGTTAACGTGGTTGTGAAATGGGGTGTTAAATTGCGACTTACTTGGGTCGATGGCTAAATTGGTTAACGTGGTTGTAGGAGGGGGTGTTAAATGAGTGAACACGTACACACGTATGCGAAAGGGCGGCGCTGGTCGAAGGGACGTCGATCATTGTGTTTGTGGATTCGTTGGAATTCATTTCACCGCGACCTTGGACGTCGACGCGCCGTACAAACCACCCGACGAGCGGCAACTGAGCGAGCGAGCGCCGACCTTGAGTATATTATACAGCACGACGGCGCATGCACTGTCAGCTGTTGAATGTTCTCGAAGCGCGACGCCACATGCGCGTCCACTGGAGAATCAGGAGAATTGTAGATGTCGAACGCGGTGTGTAGAGGAGGAAGGGTGCACAGATGGTGGAGGAGTGAAGCGCGCGCGGTGCGTAGAGGAGGAAGGGATGCACAGAAGGTGGAAGAGTGGGCGACGGCGCGACGGCGCGACGGCGCATGCGCGCGCGTCAGCTGTCGAATGTTCGAGAAGCGGTGCGGACGGCGCACTACAAGGCGCGAGTATAAGATGCTCCGCATCTAAAAAACATTAGAGCGAAAGGGCGGGATGTTAACAAAAAGATTGAGATTGAGTGGCGAAAAAAGAAAAAAAGAGGTTGGAGCTGCGGTGCTCCATGGCCTGAGGTACCGACTGAATCGGGAAGAAGGAGGGAGGCATGAGTTCATTAAAACATAACTCAGTGGAGTGAAGGTTTTCAGGCGAATAAATTATGAAAACGCCATGAACTTTCCAGGCCCCATTTGAGGCAGCGTATCCACGCTTGAAGGTGAGCGTCTTAACCACTTTGATATCCGGGCGAGATGGCTGAACAGCCATTTATGGAAGCCATGTGATTGCGTTACTAGGGACGAGGGAGCGAGACCAACACAAAGTGCACAATAGAGAAAGCATGAAATACAGCAGGCGGAAGAGGGTAAGAACTAAAGTTAGAAAGAGATAGAGTATCATAACCAGATAGGGCTTTTGACTGATATGTAGAGTTAAACGTCTAAAAACCACAATATGATCTTGTGAGACGCGGTAGTAGAGAGTTCTCGAAATTTATACCACCTGTGATTATTTAAGGTACTCTCATACTCTCACATCTGAGCACACGGGTCTACAGCGTTTACGCCTCCATCAGAAATGCAGCGGTTGGAGCCGGAATTAAATGCCGCGACCTCCAGGTCAACAGCCGAGTACCTTAGGTACTAGACCACCGCGGCAGGGCATAAAAGGTTGCCGGGCAAACTGACAGCCACTGCAAGTTGGAATTCACTAAAAACCGCCACAAAACAGCGTCCCGAAAGCAGTCAAGTAGGCGCGAAAGTGGGACCACCGCTGCAAAACTGAGACGCGTCTCACGTAAATCGAAACATCTGGTCACTCTATGCCAGGCAAGTTGGAACGTTTCACTAAAACATTATCCACGAAAGCAAGCCTGCAGTCTCAAAAATAAAGACAATAAAGTCCATACTTACATGACATGGCGAGTTGAAAAGCTTCGTGGACAAAATGGAGTCTGGAGAAAAGCACCTGCGTTTCTTCGGGAGCGTCGCAGTTTCAACGACGAAATAAAACCCACGTTGTTGTTGACAAGAGCACTGGTTCATGCGGTGACGAACGATATGACAAGGTACTTGAACTGGTATAGCGCATTACGGGGAAGAAGAAACGGCCGAGCAGACCGACACAAGAGGACAGAGCGCTAACTTCCTGAGTTAGCGCTCTGTCCTCTTGTGTCGGTCTGCTCGGCCGTTTCTTCTTCCCCGTAATGCGCTATACCAGTTCAAGTACGACGAACCAACTCGCCCAATCTTCAACACTCGTGGATATGACAACGACGATGGAGAAAGCGGTTATGGCAAGCGTAAGCCACAAAAAATGTAATACAAATCGTGAAGAAAAAAAGTTTGAACCTAAGCACCAGAACAGAGACTGCAGACTGCGCAAGTGTGCCAGACAACACTGGGGACAGCGAAACAATGCCAACCAGTGTGGCGCCGCCTAGAGTCAGCAGCTCGAGTTATACAGGAATAGCCGGATCGCACGCGCTGCCTCTGGTATGACGTCATCGTGTACTCGGGCGTGTCAGTCTCTGCTTCTGCTGAGATACGACGTGCTTCAGTGCTTTTTTTAAGGATGATAGTTTTTCTTTGGGAACTTCAACAGAAAAATTTTGGGTTATCTGTCTGTCTGTCTGTCTGTCTGTCTGTCTGTCTGTCTGTCTGTCTGTCTGTTTGTCTGTCTGTTTGTCTGTCTGTCTGTATATTTGTCTGTTTGTCCGCCTTAACGATACCTTAAACGGCACCAAGCGGCCAACCCTATCCACAGCGCCCACCAATATTGCTCAAGGTTTGGCGTTCATAGCTGTGCGATTATCAATTGAAAAGCAATTATTGCGCATATCTGAGGCGCCACAACAACGCTTCGATGTTTCCTATGTCTGCCTTTTTACTAGAAGAGGCACACACAAATGACTCTAAGGAATGTAGCGTTTATTCGCGCTGCGCTGACAGTGCAACGCGATGCTCAAAAAAAATGCCGCCATATCCACGAAGTGAATGATGATGAGTGGGCGAAGCTCCAGAGGTAAACCTGGTAAACCATGAATCCTCCGTACATTTTGCCCACACGATTTTATTGCAACGCTCCCCCTAGCGTACGTCGCCGCACTATATGGAACAATGACACGCGCCATATGTGGCATCATTCCTATTTTATAACACCTCGCATCTTTCATAATCAACTACACGTACCGCCGTCTAGTTTATAACATCTTGCATCTTTTGGACGGACGGATGGACGGACGGACGGACGGACGGATGGATGGATGGATGGATGGATGGATGGATGGATGGATGGATGGATGGATGGATGGACGGACGGATGGACGGATGGATATGGCTGTACCCTTTAGATCGGGCGGTGGCTAACGTAATACTTAGAACTGAACGAGAGGTGGCTACATACAGGGGACGCACAGCCCACGCCTTAAGGAGCTTCGCTCCTAAAAGGTGTTTCCAATGCTTTGCTACGACGTCATGGTGGTGGCACCTGCCTGCCGCTTTGCTTTTTACACCTTGTCACCTCCGAGACTGGCGCGCATCTTTCTCCGCGGGCTGCACGCCTTTGTTTCCGAAGATAACTGCCAGTTGGCCCTTGTGTCTAACGTGCCTAGATGCGCTCGTTCGCCTCCACCACACGCTCGAGGCACTCTAACGTAGTGCCTGCAGAATACCAATCACCGCTTTTCTTGCGCACAACATCAAATAAACGTTTTGTTCACTCTCTCTAGACGCAGGACTATCGTCTTTTGACGACATCTACAGTGTAACATGTGGATTCGGGCCAATTTTTTTTGGATAGAGGACGCATAGATTTGATTGTTTTATGCATTCTCATGTAATTCTGGTCGATCACTGAACTCGGTGAGGTGGCGCGCATAAGGCGTTAGAGGGCCACATTTCGAAGGAGACAAAGTGCAAGCACACGTGTTTACCGCAATATTGTGCAAGTTCGAGAATTGGAAATCGTCAACAATTTAACGGACGCTTCACTCTGCGGTACAACGCGGCATCACATCGCAGTTTCGGCCCGTTCTATTCCTAAAACAGAGTATATTTATCATTAGGTCGACTGTATTGCGAAATACCCCTGTTTCTGTGCGCACCGTAAGTGGGAATATTGGACGCGCTAGGTATTCCAAGAAGTTAACAGTTACTCAAAAAACAGGTTCAATAAATGAGTTTTACTCAGTATTACACAGTTGTATGCTGAAGTAAAATGAAAATTCATATTCTCTCAGCACACTATATATATATATATATATATATATATATATATATATATATATATGTATATATATATATATATATATATATATATATATAAGTGTGAGCGCAGTCACCGACTGTTCTTTATCAATTGGACGTTTCGTCATCATTTGTATAATTTCCTCATCTGTAGATATCATCATCAGTGTGTGCCAGCTCGATCTCGCCTCGAATAAAGTTCTTCCTCATAAGTGGTGGAGGTGCTTGGCGCAGTCACCATATATATATATATAAGTACGTGTGCGTAGTGAATTCCTCCCTACACATAGCACGGGGTTTGTCATTCTGCTTTTGCCATCTTGTGGCAGGATAGCCCCGCAACTATTCGAGATGGCTGTACAACACTCGTGTATTTATCAGAACACGCTGCGGGGCAGAGTGGCTGCCCCTGTGCCTGAAATGAAACGGCGCTGTTTACCGTAGTATAATAGAAGATATTAAAAAAGAATACCGAAAGTACAAAAAGTGAGTGCATTTCATTCGAAAGAAGAAAGGTTAAACTGAGCAGCTGGGAAATGTTACCTAGATAATTTCAGACCTGCTCACTGTGTCAGCCGTCAGTTCGGACGCCACTCCGTTTAGAACGGTGTGTTTCACTGCCCAGAGGTGCCGACGCTTGCTCTCGTCGTTACACAGACATGGATTGCCAAGCCCGTTGAACGTTTTCAAGAAGACCATCTTTTTCGGTGCCAGTGAACTGCAGCTTAGATATGTGATGCGTTTTGTGCACTGGATATTTTCAATCTGTACGGCTACCAATCCCAACGGTTGGGCGATGTTGCGTGGCGAATGTTTGCGGCAAAGAGACCGAAGTTGCGGATGTTCTCATTTCTCAAGGACAACCGAACAACGACGTGGAAGCGTGTCGTTTGTCAACCTGACGGCGACATTCATTTTCTTTGTGACACTGAGGTACGTGTGTCCGTACTGCATGTTTCTAGGTCGTTCCGATGGCCCCATCGCCACGATGTTCCGTTCTTGCTATAAAATAAAGGTGTAATGTGTGCTTATAAATTCTTGGTGTACGCCTTGGCATTAAAATATAGAACGCGCGTAGCAGCATGTTTCAGAATAGGCATTTTTCTTTCAGCGGCGGTAAACATTTTGCTTTTGGCGATTAGCATCGTGTACTGCTTGCGTAGCCACCGTTTACTTGGTTGATAAAAAGGAAAGGAATGCTGTTGCATTGCATTAGCGCATCGGTTTTGTGCATCGTATTTTCTTCCGGTGTTCTATCTACTTTATTGTGGTATTATAATTTAGCCCCTGTCTCGTCCGCACCTTAAATAAGTCTTTAAATATGTTTCCTTGGAATGTGGTAGCCTGCAAACAATTACGGTAATACGCTTTCTTAAATGATTCTCGTGTGTGTGAGCTCTACTTAAAGCTCAAATAGTTAAGAACCACTGCCAAAAGTATACTGATCTATTAACCGGCAGTGCAGTAGAAGCACCCACCGAACTTCGCGTTTTAACAGATACCCAGTACTAGCACTTTTCTCAAGTCGTAAGTTATGTGACCGACTTCGCACCAATGCCAGAGGGGCCAGAGCAAAAGAGGAAACGCCACTCTTTGAGCTGGTCCCAATAAATTTTTGTGAAACAATGAATATTTTTTTCCCTTGCAATGATGATCACCCTGATAGTACGATGAAAAACATACTCTAAGCAGCAGCACACACTCTCCTCATTAACTACGTGTGTATGAAGGCAGATGTTCGAAAGAGTAAAAACGAAACGGTTGAAATTTCGTAAATGAGTAAGAACAATTTTTCTACGTGTTCTAGATAGTGTGCGTGCGTGTGTGTGTGCGTGCGTGCGTGAGTGAAATAAAGAATGGATAAAATTTATCTTATTTGTTTCGTCACTTTGTTGGTCCATGAAATTTAGCTCTTAAGGATCCACATCGCGTATGATAGGGCACAATTTTTGACAGTGTGTGTAAAAAATGGCTCACAAGTGAATCTCCAAACGCTTTCAAGGGCAGCACATTACTTAACCCAGGGCTTTTTTTTTACCCAAAAGGCAGAATAAAGCTATTAGGCATCTAAAACTCGGCACGAACGCTTTATCTTTAACGGGAGACGATGATGGGTGGCAATAGGCTAACAGCCTCATGCAGTACGCTTGCTCGTACGGGCAAAACAAGTATGTCACATGGTCGCGATGGCAGTGAGCAGGCCTGATATTATTTTTTTCGTGTCATTGAGCTGGCACATAGTATTATTCGCGCCTGCCTTATCTCGTTGCTGCGTTCACCTAGGAAACCAGCGGGCAAGCGTCGTGACTTAGCGCGCCGCCTCACCCGCGCACGCAAGCACTGTTGACCGGCAGCGGCGCGTGTTTGAAAGAGCATCGAAAAGGGGGAGGTCCGTAATGCAAAAACAAGAAGCAGCGCTTCACAACAGGAAGCAATTCATGCCGCCAGTATAGTTCGTGAAGGTTCGCTTACGGACAGGCGATGTAAAATGCAATTTCTATTGCACTGACCTCTGAAATAATGTTGTGTTGTTTGACTAAGGAAACTACATCCGAATATTAAAACAAGCTATCATGTACTCGTAGTCAGGTAGTTTTATAAGTAAGGCATACTTTATTTGTTCCTACTGTGCTTTTACCAAAATTCGAAAGGGATGAAAAACACAATGAAGAGATTTTTTCACCAACAGAACCACCTAATTGCATTAGGCAGTGCGAAATTCAGACGAAATTCCTTTTGGCAGTCTAGGTACGCCCGAAGGATCGGTATTTTCGCTATTTCTATTTAACATAGTCGTAACAGGCTTACAAATGAAGTACCCGATCTGAAAAGAAAATT